CTCTGGTTCCCATAAGCCTATTCACTCCCAATTTCCTCATCTGGGAGAAGCTACAGGGAAGGGTGTTGGTAAGCATGGCAGGCCTGGAGGGAGGAAGGCCTGGTGAGCAGCAAGGCCCTTTCTTCCTCCCCCTTCCCATGATTCTGAGTCCTTGGGTGCTGCCCCATGAAATGCAGAAGGCAGGCATGTGGAGGCTGCCTCCGGTGGAGATTCCCTTCCGAGGGGAAGCGCCTCCCTGGGCGCCCAGAGGGCTTGCGGAGCAGCCACAGCTGCTGGCTTCTGTCAAGTGTGAAACAAAACGCACTTGTCATTGAAAAAGTAACCCCCGGGGATGCCGGAGTAAAGGATATTTATAGCTCTCATGTATGTGTCCCTGAACTTGTGTGTTTAAGTTATCAGACAGAACAACAGTACATGCAGAGCTTACACATGAACTTCCACACACAGACAGGGGCTAAATCTGGAACTCCGGGATCCCAAACGCACCCCAACACACATCCTCCTGTGTGTGGGTATTCTGGGACCTGGATCAACTGGGCTTCAGTCCTTCCCTCTCCGGGTATCAAGTTCTGCCTTCCTGCCAAGGATTAAGAGATCAGCCTGGAGCCCACAGCTAGAGAGCAGCTTGCCAGGCAGCTCCCCACCGGCTCGTCTGGACAGAGCGGGAAGACTCTTCCCACGTCCCCCTGGCTCCAAACAGAGCAGAGGCAGGAGGGAAAATCTCCCCTCAAGTCCTCCCTGAGCAGATAACGGGGCTGCTGCAGAGCCTTCAGTGACATCCTAAGAGCAAGAAAGGAGAAGCTTCGCAGGGTCCCAGGCAGAATGCCAACCGCCTGCACCCCAATCACACAAAGGCCCCCCAGCGGAGGAAGGCGCCTCTGTCACTTCCACTCCAAAATGCTTGGCAGTTCAAATGTCCTGGCTCCTGGACCACCCATGGCCTGGCCAACAGAGGGGAGGGCTTCCCTTTGGCAGCGATGCTATTGAGTGTGGTGGAGACGGTGAGGGATGTCCCCAGACATGGCACATGATGGGGACTGACGTCCAGCACACTCTCACCCTCCTTCTCTTTCCCCCTCTCTGCTAATAGCAGCAGAGGTCAAGTGGAAGGCAGACTGCTCTAGAAGGCCAAAGGTCATCTACAGCCTTGACTGGGAGATCCCCTCATATGTAAGTTGGGCAGATGATGCCTGTGGCTTTGAACTTGACTGAGGTCAAAGAGGAGGCCAAGATTGAGTTAGTAGACTAGAGGTTCCAACCTGAGGAGGCACCGCTGACTGAGTGAGTGTCCGTATGCCTGAGTGAACATGAGAAAGAGAAACTGCTCTCCAGTGCCTCGCCCCATCATATCTCTCTGAAAGTAGAACCAGCTGAAGCCTACACGTCCTGCTTGTTCCTCAAATTCTGCACAGAACCCTTACCTATTTCTCTTATGTCAACAGGGATGCAGGCTCTGGTTAAGACAGAAAACCATCTGACAAGACAGGGCATTTACAACAGGGAGCATTCAGCTTGGGACCTCGGGCCCAGTGCTGGGGACTGTGGGAATTATAAAATGCAAAACCACTCCACACCTTTTTTAAGCGGTCTCGGATCTGGCATTCTAGTGGAATTTCTATCAACTCCAGGCATGAGATACTGTCCTCTTCCACCTGTGACCCCTTCTCTCCACAAAATGGCCCAACATGAAGTATAATAATTTCTTGTACACACCTATTTATTACACACCTATTATGCACAAAGAAGTATCAGCTGCTTTCACATATGTTAAAGTGTTTAAGCCAGCCTGCAACCCTGCAGTATAGATTCTAATTATCCACATTTTTAGTAGATCACAAAACAGGTAAATCAAACAGCTAGAATCACGTGACTAGTATGGCAAGGTGGAGATCTCAGCCCAAGCCTTGGTTCCAAAGCCTGTGCGGGCTTTCCGCTGCCACACATCAGGTTTAAAAATATCTGCATCTATGCCTGTGTGTGTGTATGCTTATTTATCATTATTATTATTATTGTAAGATGAGCTTGATACTGATTCATAGAGGCACATGGTCTTAGTGACCAAGTTCAACACAGGAATCTCCCACATAACACACATGCTCCTGGGTACAGGGCAGGCACTTGTCTTTTGGTGCTAAGTTTAATAAACTCTCAAATGCTGAAAGATGAAATAGCATTAACTTTGATCCAAAAACAAAAGGCTTAGATGCTGAGAGAAACATCAAAAAGACCTAACACACATCTTGGCCAACAGAGTAGATGTCCTGCCACTGGGTAACAACAGTGATACTGGAGGTTTACTAATACAGTGATCCCGCTTGGTATGTATCTTACCATCCTCCACTGGAAAGAGTAATTATGATCGTGTATGGAAAGCCCTGGTTTTGTGAGTGGGTTTAACGTCAGGGGACTCTTTGGATTTAAGTTTTCTCCCCTGTAGAGGTGCCATCCCCCACTCAGAGAGTGGCTGGAAAATTCCATGTAACACATCTATGGACTCGCAAACAATCGCATCAACCCGGTGGCATCTCGGAACTTCCATGGCTTCCTGGGGGTATAACCACTTCATCCTGGAGCAGATTCAGACCCCTGTCCCGACTCCAGCAACAGCCCTCAGTAGCTGTGTGACCTCAGGCAAGCAACCTAGCTTCTCCGAGCCTGTTTCCTCATCGGCAAAAATGGAATACCATCTAGTTCACGGGTTGTTTTATGGAGTAAATATGGTACTATTTCACGTGGCTGCCCCACGTCTGATATGTAGAAGGAAGTCAGTAAATATCAGCAGAGTTTAAACGTGCTCAGAACAGTTCTGACGCGTCCACGTCCTGTTGAATAGGGAGTGTGGTCAGAAATGATCATGATGACAAGTGAAAGAAAAAAGGGAAGAGGAAGAAGGGAGAACAGTTAAAATCACAGGCATTTTTTAAAAACCTCCCTCTGTTCAAGCAATAATGTCAACCTTTTGCTTATCAACTGTTCTACTTAAAAGTTGGTCTTATTTGAGTGAGCTCTGCCTCTTGCCCTCCACACCCTCTGATGAAAGTAGAAGGAAGATCAACTGTAGGGCAGGCAACCAAAAGGGGCCCAGGAAAGCTGAGAACTGGCCATACTGACCAGGGCCAGTGTGGTGAAAGGGATGGCCTCAGGCACTGGAAGTGCCAGCAGTACTCTATCCTCAGATGTTCCTCTAACTTAACACTTTAGAAACCGGCCAGGCACAGTGGCTCACGCCTATAATCCCAGCACTTTGGGAGGCCGAGGTGAGAGGATTGCCTGAGCTCATGGGTTCGAGACTAGCCTGGGCAACTTGGTGAGATCTCATCTCTACAATAAATCACATACCCACAAAAATATTAGCTGTGCGTGGTGGCCCATGCCTGTAGTTCCAGCTACTTGGAAGGCTGAGGTGGAAGGATCGCCTGAGCCCAGCAAGCTGAGGCTGTGGTGGCCGTGAGTGTGAGATTCTGACTCAAAAAAAAAAAAAGAAATCAGAGGCCACATCAAGGACTCCCGTTTCTAGCCGGGCTTGGTGGCTCAGCCTGTAATCTCGCGCCTTTCGGAGGCTGAGGTGAGTGGATTGCCTGAGCCCGTGGGTTCGAGGCCTGCCTGGGCAGCGAGACCTCATCTCTACAATAAATAAAAAAATCAGCCGGGCGTGGTAGCGCATGCCTGTAATTCCGGCTACTTGGAAGGCTGAAGCGGAAGGATCACCAGAGCCCAGCAGGTCGAGGCTGCAGTGGCCGGGAACGGACACTGCACTCCAGTCTGGGTGACAGAGTGAGACTCCAACTCAAAAAAAAAAAAAAAAAAAAAAAGGGAATCCCGTTTCTTTCAGACTCCAACCCGGACTCTAATCACAATTCTGAAATCCAAATCTAGACAAGCTACAAAGACCAGCACTCCCTTTATTGATCACCTAGTGAATGTCAGGCTCAGGGTTAAGCATTTGGCATACACTATCTGCACAGGAGGATGGGTTTATTATTATTATTTTAATCCCAATTTTACAGATAAGGAAACTACTACTGGACTTCCCCCAAAGACAAGCTCTAAGCCCTTCAGCTGCTCCTATGCCTCAAGGACTTAAGTCTGCATGATACATGTGGAAACTTTTGCCGGAGTCTTCAAGTCTAATCATAGTGTTGGATTCTACAAAACTTCATCACACACAATCATCTTGGCCCCAGAGCAAAAGTGAGTCTGGGAAAAGGCTCAAGTTGGAACAGGGAGAAAGAGAAGACCTTAATCACTTAGGAGCACAGCCGGGCAACCCTTGATTTGCAAACACTGGTCAGAGACTGCAGGGAGAAGCATGCATTTTCTTTCTGCACAATAATCTCTCCCAAAGAAAACTCAAAGTCACCTGGCCCTCCTGAGGTGGGAGGAAACACTCTCACTCTAAGATTTGCAACGAACCCCTAACCTTTCCTCCCCTACCCCAGGGAGTGGCTGAATGGCTGTTGTTTCTTTTCTTTTTTTCCCTGTGGTCCTTTGGTAACACCACAAATTACGTTTTCAGGGACTGGAGTCCCAGAGTGCAATGATGTTGTAATAAACATAACCAGGACCAAATGCCTTCCCATCATATTAGATGATGCCATTTCCCACCAATCAGGCTCCTCGGGCAGGCAGACCACTCACCAATGAGGGACCAGACAGAGGCTGTGAGGGGGAGACCTGGTCATCTGCAACTAAAAATAAGGGCGCTTCATGATTGGCTGCCACTTTGCAACAGGAGTTGGGACCCACACACCAGGCGCCACACAGAAAGACCCACACAGGCAAAAACTTTCGCAACCTAGGGGTTCACATGGGTGGGCTGATCTGAGTTTCTTGTCTGTTTTTCTAATTTGCTGATTTGATCAAATAAAGACCTAATCCAGAAGGAGCCCCTCGCAGACACACCCTCCCACCTAGACACCTCAGTTTCCAAAGGCCCTTCACAGAGCAACACAGAAGTGGGGAAAGGGAGGAGGGTGTCAGCCAGAGGCCAAGACACTCACCTGTCCGGCCGTGTCATAGAGTCCCAGGAGGTACTGCTTGCCCCCCACGGTGACGCTGACTGCAAGGACAGAAGTGGGGGCGGGGAGAGAAGCTCACAATGACTTGGGCTCTGGGGCAACTTCGCTGCCTACCCAGACCCTCCTCTCCCAACCCTGCTGCACAGTGTGGGCGCTCCCGGGAGATGTCACCCCCTTATCCCTTGTGCCCGGCTCACTGTGAAGTGACGTGGGGCCAGGGTGTGATGTGGCCCCCGGCTGT